AAGAAAGAAAGAAAGAAAGAGAAAGAAAAGAAAAAACCAAACCAAAATGTACAATGCAAAAGGAATAGAGGGATGAAACTAGGTGCTTCTCTCTATTTCAACCTCCAAACTTCTCCCCAGGATGGGAGGATGGGAAGAAACGAACACCAGGCAACTTTACTGCAATGACAACAAAGAATCCTGGAACTTTATGCTGTTTTATAATGTAGTAAACATGGAAAATCACTTTGTGAAGGGTTAGATTCTTCTTTTTATACACTGAAATAAGAATAAGTAAATAAATATATTCAGCCTTTTAAAGATCACATACAGGGAGAGTGTGACTGATATTTTATTGAAGCCCCCTGCACACATTTAAAACACTGATATATCTTAAGGCCGAAATAAATGTTCCCTGATCCATTTTTTGAAGCCGTGACCATAGTAATAGTGAAATAAGGATTCTTCACTTGATGGACTTGATGAGAGATGTAAATAATCATAAATAAAATATCTAGAAAGGGTTTTCTAAGTTCATATCTTAGGTCACATAAAACACACAAAATTGAAAACTCAGAATGAAAAAAAAGAAAAAGAGAATGTTGTTAGGATAAATACCTGGGTATATGGCAACTGAAATGCTCTTAGCCCTTCATTTTTGAGGAACTTTGTAAGACTGGTGTAAACTCTCCTAATTTCTTTTTTTTTTTAATTTTTTTTTTAACGTTTATTTATTTTTGAGACAGAGAGAGACAGAGCATGAATGGGGGAGGGTCAGAGAGAGAGGGAGACACAGAATCCGAAACAGGCTCCAGGCTCTGAGCTGTCAGCACAGAGCCTGACTCGGAGCTCCAACTCACGGACCGCGAGATCATGACCTGAGTTGAAGTCGGACGCTCAACCGACTGAGCCACCCAGGCATCCCTACTCTCCTAATTTCTAGGTTGCCTTCAACATTCCATCCTGCTTATCTCCAAAAACACAGGTATATTTCTGGGCCTTCACATACCCTAGTGCCAATTGTTACGGGCTTAATTCTGTACCTCACCCAGTTTGTATGTTTATGACCTAACCCGTAGTGGTTCAGAATGCAAACATATTAAGAGATAATGTGTTTAAAGATGTGATTAAGTTCAAATGAGGTCTTCAGGGTGAGCCCTCATCCAATGTTACTGGTGTCCTCATAGGAAGAGGCTTGGACCCAGATAGGCATGTGCACAGAGGGAAGACCATGCGAAGACACAGAAGGAGAAGACAGTCATCTACAGGCCAAGGGGAGAGGCCCCAGAAGAAATTGGCCCTCCTGACACCTTGGTCTGGTAGTTCTTGCCTCCAGAACTTGTTTATGCTGTCCAGTCTGTGGTATTTGTTATAGGAGCCTTAGCAAACGAATAAACCATCTTTTTTTTTTT